ATGGCTCAACAGTTAAAAGTACTTGCTGATCATCTAGAGGGCCCAAGTTCAGCTCATATCACCAAGGCCAGGTGGCTCACAACCACTGTAATTCCAGCTCCAGGGATCTGTTGCGCGCACGCGCGCACACACACACACACACACACACACACACACACACACACAAATAAAAATAATAAAGGACTTCCAGGGCCCTTAGGGCTAGAGCTGTGCCTCCCCACTCCCCAGACTGGGAAGTCCCAAGGTCAAGGCTTTGTCTCCCGTGGCTGACTGACAGAGCCCCATAGCAAGGGCTCTGCTCTGATAGACTGGAGGTCCCAGGACACTGCTTCGGGTCCCTGTCCTGCATGTGGCCAGTCGCCTGATTCTCCATGGGACTGAATGTCTTCACTTAGGGGCCCACAGGGTGCAGCTCTGGAATTGTGAGGGATGAAAGGGGATGAGAGTCCAGGGTCCAAGGCAGGCCCCAGCCCACCATGTCATCTAACCCCGCCCGTAGATGGCACCAAAGCTCAGAATGAAAGCAGAGTTGGAAGTCTCAGTCACTGTATCAGGCCCCATTTGCGGAGAGGAGAGCAATGTACCAAGAACTGTCTCCCACCCCAGTCAGCTGTCCAGCATTCTGGGAAGGGGCTGTGTTCCCAGAAAGCAAATGACCCAAACACACAGCCTGGCAACCCTTCCCACCTCCTTCCCCCCCAGATTGGTGCCAGGGGCCAGTCTCTGACAGAGACAATCCTAGCCATTTTGTTTTTCTTGGCCAGGAAAGACACCACAAAAATCATCACCACTGTAAGTAAGCCACAAGCTTCCCTATCTCTGAACCCAAGAGAATGGGCACCCAGATCAGATGGGTCCACCACCAAACTGTGCCAGAGAGGAGTAGGGAGGTCTAGCAAGGCAGAATCTAATCACTGGGGCAAGAGATGTACACACACCCTCACCAAGCCCTGTTGTGGATCTGGGCAGCTTGGATGTCCTCAGGCGCCAAGCTCAGCCAGCCCCTCCTTAGCCTTACAATCCCAGCCTTTGTCCGCAAGGCTGCCCAGGCCCAGCTGGCCTCATACCAGTCTAGGAGCCCCTGGAAACCCGAGCAGCTGGACTGCCACCAAGTACTTTTCCAGGCTAGGCCAGGGCCCTCAGGAGACCTAGGGAGATGGGGATCGGGAAGAGCTCATTCACTTGGGTGTCCATTCCCTCCTTTGAACAAATATTTATTGATAGCTCACTTTGAGGCAGGCAGTGCTAGGTTCGTGCAGTTCAGCAGCAGGACCACGCCCCCCGGGTGGTACATTCTAGAAGCAGCTGCCAAGGGGATGTAGACGGAAACCGTGGACAGTAAACCAACAAATCCCTCCCCGCAGGGATGGAGACTGCAGCAAAGAGACAGGTGCAAGGTGTGGGCGCAGCAGGTGGGATGCTACCGTCTAAATTAAAGCCTGTCTACACCGGACTTCAGATCTAGAGGGGGGAGGGGGGAGGAGGCCCTCCCCTCAAGGCTCCACCCACACACTGCTGTTGGTCACCCGGGCCCCGAACCAGCCCTTCCAGTACACCGAGTCCTGTCCCCCGTGCTCAAAGCGGACAAATCGGACGCCTGGCCCATAGTCGGTGAAGGTGTGCGAGATCTGGGGGAGATGAAGAGGTACTGAGTCAGCCAGAGGTTGGAGGCCGTCCCTGCCGCCCTACCCGGATGCAGTGCCCCAACCCCAGCTCTGATTCTCCGCAGGATGGTGCACTCCCTCCACCAGCCCTGGACCATCCTCTCGCAGCCCCAGCGCCCTGGGCGGGACTTCCAGCACAGGATGCCGGGCTCCCAGTCTCTCCCGGTTCACCTCCATCCAGCCGCCATCCTCGCTGTCTGGGGGCACTGCCACCTGCCCAGTGCTGAACTCGGCCAGCACATCCTCGTGCTCGGACAGCAGCCTCACGGTCAGCTCATACAGGCAGCCCGCATCCGAACGGCCGGAGTACCTGCCGGGGAGTGCACCCAGGCGCATGCCTCAAGGTCTGCCCAGTCCAGCCTCCCTATCCAGCCAGCATCCCCTCAGTGTCCCCATTTCACAGACAGGGAACCTGAGGTCACAGAGAAAAAGACACTGGTCCCTGAGTCACACACATGGACTAAATTTCAAGTGAAGGGTACCAGACCCAACCTTGAAACCAAAGCTGTCCTAGGGGATACACAGTGTTGGTATGGTCACATGCACACATACAGGTATATATAGATGGATATGTGCATATATATATATACAAATAAGGACTAGACAGACCTTAACTTATCTGAGGTATCCTTGCTTCGCCTCATACATGTGGGTATGCCCACATACATTTGCCAACATTTTTTTATTTGTATTTTGTGTATGAGTACACTGCCTTCATGTATGTAAGTGCATCTCTGTGTGCAATGCCTGAGGATGTCAAAAGAGGGAGTCAGATCCCCTGAAACTAAAGCATATAGACGATTGTTAACCACCATGTGGGTGTTGGGAAGTAAACCTGGGTCCTCTGCAAGAGCAGCTAGTGCTCTTAACTGCTGAGTCAGTTCTCCAGCCCCATTTTATTTTAAAAAGATTTTTTTTTAAAGCAGGGTCTCCCTGTAGCCTCAGCAGGCCTGGAACTCACTATATAGACTAGGCTGGCTTCCATTTCACAGAGATTTGCCTGCCTCAGCCTCCTGAGTACTGGGATCAAAGATGTGTGCCACCTTTATTTTTATGTGTTTGAGTGTTTTGCCTGCATGTATGTAGGTGTGCCTGTGTCATGCAATGCTCATAGAAACCAGAAGAGGGCATCAGATACCCTGGAACTGAAGCTATAGATGGATGTTAGCTGCCAGATGGGTCCTGCCTGGGAACTGGACCCTAGTCCTCTGTGAGAACAACCAGTGTTTCTAACTATCCCTCCAGACCCATTTGCTAACATTTAAATTCAGAGCAGGAAACAGATTCCCACATTTTTCTGATAACTAAGAATCTCCCAACCCTTTCCGACCCAGGCCACAGCACTGGAAATGGCAACCGGCAGATGCTCCTTCAACTTTCCCTCCCCAGCAGTCCCCACCCGCACCCCGCTGCAGCTCACCAGTCCTTCACCACAATGGCCGGCTGAGTGGTGTCCAGCAGCTCCTCCCAGTAGCCCTCAGCTTGCAGATCAATGACCTGCGCTTTGCGACACCACCTGGGAGAACTGTTGTCAGGACCGCGTGGGCCCATTCCCCCTCCCCCTCCCCCTCCCCCCTTCTCCTTACTCGAAGGAAGAGGCAAAGTACTTCTTAACGCTGTCATCTTGCGTAAACTCCACCCCACTGTCTCCAGGCAGCTCCTCCACCCTCCAGCCATCCCCACCGTGCTCCACGTCGCACCAGCCCTCCAAATCCTCTGTGGGGACATGACAACCCACCCTGGTCACTCAGCCCTTGCTGAGGCTGTGGCAGGGCTGGCCCTAGCCCTAGGAGGCAGAGTGGGCATGGTACTTTCTCAGGGTTCTGTGGATAGACCAGACCATGGGGCATAGGGCAATAGTCACTTCCTCACTCTCCCCCTCCCCTGGACCTTATGTCCAGAAGGCCTGTCCCACCATGTCCACTGAGAGTGGACATCCCAAGAAGCAGGAGGCCCCCAAGCTCTAGTTATAGACAGTATCCGTGGGGTTACTCTGGATGGGCACTGCACCAGAGCGCTTCATCTCGGGTTAACCCCGTGGCGGGTTGGCACTAAGGCCCGTTTTCTAAAAGGGGCAATACGCCCCCCCCGGGGTCGTGGCCCTCACCCTCCCCGCACGGGTTGCGCAGTAGGTTGCGCCGCCTCTTGCTCAAGAAGTAGAATTGCTGCCAGTGGTCGCGCTCCTCGTCCGCGCTGCCCTCCGGCACTAGCCCCTCCTGCTGGCATTTGAGCAGCCACAGCGGGGCACCGTCCACCAGCTCCTTCCAGCGCAGGCACACCAGGCGGCAGGCCTGTACTAGCTCGGCTGCGGGCAGCTCTGCCAGCACGCGCAGCAGCAGTGGCTCAGGCAGCTCCGCCAGGTACTCGGCCGCTGCCACCTCCTCCTCCTGCTCCTCCCCGGGCTGCTCCTCCTCCGGGCTCGCCTTGGTGCCAGCATCCTCCGGCTGCTCCTCCGGGCTCGCCTCTTCCGGCTGGCTCACGCACTCTGCCCACAGGGGAAGGAGGGGAGGCTGTGATTCCCAAACTCTCCCTCTCCAGGTCCTAGATCCTCCGGCACTCACTCTGGGACAGCTGGGACCAAGGTTTCAGTGGCCCCAGACTGTGCTCAGGGAGGAAGCCCACAGATGCCCACCCCACAAGTCAGAAGAATTGCCTCAATGGCCTGTTGCCCCCTGCAGGGCTAGTAGACACCAGCTAGGATTTTGGAATTATCAGTCCTCCTAAGAACCCTCCCAGAGCCATGTCCCTCACCCTCCCAGTCCTGGTCATGGTCTACAGGAAGCCTTCCTGGGCTTTCTTTTGGCACACTCTCACAGCCCTAACTCAAAGGCATTCAAGGCCTTCCTAGGGTCCATCCTGGGTGTGCTTGATTGACATCTTTGTGTGCAATAGACTGATCTTAAGAAGAGGCCTGGGGAATACTGTTTCCTTAAGGAGCCTAGCACCTAGTGTGGTATCAGGAGTTTCCATTTACAGGACACTTAACAAGAGCCAAATGCTGTTTTAAACATCTGAAATACTCTTTTAAAAAATATATATTTCATTTATTTTATGTGTATGCGTGTATTGCCTGCATGTAGGTAAGTGCACCTGTGTCACGCAATGCCCACGGAGGAAATGTTGGATCCCCTTGGAACTGGAGTTACAGACAGTTGTTAGCTGCCATGTAGGTACTGGGATTCAAACCCGGGTCTTCTGCATGAACAGCCAGTGTTCTTAACCACTGAGCCATCTCTCCAGCCCCTAAGCATCTGAAATACTCTTTAAAGGCCTGACATGGTATTGCATGCCTTTTATCCCATCACTCAGGAAATAGTGAGTTGGAAGCCAGCCTGGTCTACACAGTGAGACTGTCAAAATAAAAAAGTAATAATTTAATAGAAATACTCCTTAAATCCTCCTCCATCTCTTCCAGGTTGGGTTTATAGCTGTCCCTGTTTTGTGGAGGTGCAGAGACGTGACAAGGCCCAGGATCACAACTCCTAAGTAGTCAGAGCCTGCTTTGGACCCCACTCAGTCTGGGTCTGGAACAACTTAACAGCCACAATGTTACCTAAAGAATTCTTTGAATTGTAGATATAGTCCTGATTTTGATACCGTGGATGAAGATGCTTAGGTTCAGAGAAGTGACTTGCCGAAGGTCCCACTGGCAGTATTAGGGTAGGGGACAGGGGACCCAAGAACACAGGGGAGGAGGTCGAGCCAGAGTCAGCTGTCCCCAATCAGCCAGAATTGTGCAAGCTAGGGATGGGGAACTAACAGAGAGGACTGCTGGGTACTTGGAGCAGAAACTATTCTCTCCCTCTTCTCTCATTCCTTGTCCTCAGTTTCCTCATCTATGAATGGGGTCATCATTATGCCAGACTTTGGCCCATGCTGAGTTCAACCCCTCCCCACAGAGGGGCAGGGCATTCTAAATGGGACGGTGTCAGCACCTGGACACTGCTTGGATCTCAGCCCACCTCAGCTGGGCCACAGAAGCCTTGAGTAAGCAGATACTGAGTGCCCAGTATCTGGGAGGGAGGGAGAGCCAGTGGGGACAGGACCCAGACACTCTGGGAGATAGATGGCCCCTATCTCAGAGTTCCTGAAGACTGGATCCTGAAAAGTCAAGGTTTAGAGGAAGCAGGCCTGGGCTGGCAGGAGGAGACAGGTGGCCTAGCGCCCCCTCCCCAAATCTCCTCTAAGGCTATGCAGTGTCAAACATGGTGTCAGACACTAGAGAACTGACCTTTCTCTGAACACACAGTGTATTCTCCCTCATCAGCTCTAGCGAATCTTACCCACAGGCTAACACTTCAGGTAACTTTTTCATGGTGTGAGGATTTACTCCTCTTTCTTGGCAATGAGGAAACAGAATTCTCCCAGGTCACACCACAGGACATCCACAAGGCCTACAGGAAAATGCCTACCCATCCACAACTCTCTGGAGAACTGGGCCCAGTGTCCTCACTTCTCCACTACCACCACCCTGCTCTGTCCTGGCCCCAGTGGATACCTGATGCTCCCCAGAAAGGTGCACCTCACCCAGTCCCCTCTCCTGGCCCCCAGGCCTGGCACTGAGGCCCAGCTCCGATTACAGCCCCCTCCCTCTCCCTCACACACACAACTCCTCACATTGTTGCAGTTGGAAAGTTATCTAGCCCTGGATGCTGACCCCAAGCTGACTCACTCACCTGGATTGGGCCCTGGAGTCCAGGGACTAGCTGAGCCCTGGGAAGAAAACAGGAGCCCATTCTGGGACCCTCTAGAGGATGTTTAATGGGGGCCAGGGACTGAGGGTGGGGGCAGTAGGAACTGGAGGGCCAGGGATGGATGGAGGTTACCTGGCCACTGTAGTAGTCATCAGTTCCCTTGCCTTCCCTAAAGAGTGACCACCCCAGCTGGGGATGGTGAGGGAGAGAAAGGAGTCATGGCAGGCAGGTCTGTCCCACAGCTTGACTCAGCAAGCACCCCCCTACAGGCCCAGCAGGAAGCTGGATGAAGAAAGTGGGGTCTCTGGTGCCAGAAAAGATGACTGAGCAATCCTGAGCGACCCAGAGCACCCGCCAAAGGCAACCCTAACTCTTCCCCCCGGTAAACTCCCGAGAGGGCAACACATCACCCAGGCGCTAGGCGGCCCCTTCAGAAGGAGTCCCCTCAGGAAGCTAGGATTCGGATGCAGAGAGGTTCGTGAGCCCCGGGACCCCACTAGGATTCCGGCGGTTCAGGGACCAGAGCTGGCAAATGGAAGAAGTTGATGAAAGCAAAGGCTTGCCAACGCGCCTGGCTCCCCAACCCCAGGAAGCCTGGGATGCTGGAGTCCTCCGATGCCATTCAGGGCACCCAGACGTCCTCCTCCTCCCTCCACACCAAGACACCAGGCAGAACCTGCTCCTTAGACCGTCTCCAGGGTTTTGCAGCCGTGAAAGTTTGCGCGCGGCTACCTGGATCACCGTCTCCGTCCATCGCTGCGGCGCGGTCCAGACAAGAAGCCGGAGTGCTGCGGAAGCCGAGTGCAGACGCTGCCTGTCTGCCCGACCGCGCCGCCGCGCCTCTTAAAGGCCCCGCGCGCCCCGCCCCGCTCCGCCCTCGCCCGGCGCCCCGCAGCCACACCGAGCCTAGCGGACACGCGAGGTCCCGACACGGCCGGCGGTCGCTGTGCAGTGGATGGGGTGGGGTCTGATGCTCGCTTTTTGGATAGCTGCGGGAGGGGACCCTGGACGCGGCGACCTGGGACACGGAGGGTGTGGGCCCCCGACCAGACCGAATTGGGGGTACGAGCTCCTTCCGGCCCCCCAGGTACTTTTCCTACGTCACGGTGGTGGGGCGCGGCCTGGAGACGGGGGAGGGGACTGGAGGGCAGTGAATGGAGGAGGGATGTGAGCAGTGGGCGTGGCCTGGATGCTGGGCGTGGCCTGAAGACGGTGGGCGTGGTCTCACCCCTGCCACCACTGGCCCTGGCAGAGCTTCTCCGGGACCCAGATGACGCAGGAAAGGGAAGAGGAGGTGTGGCCTGAAGAGCGGGGGCGTGGTTGGAGGCGTGGCGGGGTCCGGTGGGCGGGACCTCATCCCTGGTTGGTGCAGCCTCACCCCGCAGCGTGGGGCAGACCAAGCGCAGTTTTCCTACGTCACGGTGGTGGGGCGCGGCCTGGAGACGGGGGAGGGGACTGAAGGGCAGTGAATGGAGGAGGGATGGGACCCAGATGACGCAGGAAAGGGAAGAGGAGGTGTGGCCTGAAGAGCGGGGGCGTGGTTGGAGGCGTGGCGGGGTCCGGTGGGCGGGACCTCATCCCTGGTTGGTGCAGCCTCCCCCCGCAGCGTGGGGCAGACCAAGCGCAGGTGACCTGGGAGGGAGCGCGCCGCGCGCCGGCGTGGGGGCGGGGCCTGGAGGGAGGGGCGGGGTCTGGAGGGCAGTGGGCGGAGTCGCACCCCTGGTCGCCGCAGGCTCTGGCTGCGCAGCCCCACGGCCGGATCTGCTCTGGGAGCTCTGCTGCTTATCGCAGGTGACCGCAAGAGGGGATGCAGCGAGCGCCGGGGAGGAATGTGGAGGGCAGAGGCCTGGTGGGCGGGCTGCGCTGTCCGCTGTGTCGCAGTGCGTTCAGGGAGGCCCAGCGCAGATCAGGTCCAAGCCTCAGGACTTGTCCCCCACTGCACTGCCAGACCTCAAAAGGAGGCGCGTCCGGGGGCCTGGGCTGGGATCGCCATCCATATTCAGAGGTCTGAATGTCGACTTTGGGGGAGCATTCTAAAGCCACAGCAAAGCAAATGGAAGGCTGCAGGCGCCCTTGGGGGGCCCTTGAGCTGGAACCCAGCCATGGGGGTGGAGGGAGGGAGATAGGAATGACCCTTTCCCACTGCACACCCTTCTCCCAGTCTCGGGTAGGCAGGTCTGAGATCTTCTGAGTCTTTTGTATTGCAGTAACCCCCCCCTGAGAACCAGTGATAACCCACACACACTATCTCAACCCCTTCCTCACTCTGGAGGGTGGGAAAGGATGAAGACTGGCAGGCAGAGTGCTCACCAGTGGGGGACATGTTACCTACCTCCTAAAGACTGCCGCCCTATTAAAAAAGGCTGACCCTAGCTAGATTCTGGAAGGACTGGGGCCCCTTACCCCTCTGCCCATATCTGTGTGACTTTGGGCAGCTCCTTCAACCTCTCTGGGCCTCCTTAGAGGCTGTCCTTAGGTGCCAGGTGGGGGTGGGGATCAGAGCTCACCTTTAACTGAGGAACTCGGTATCCCAGGCACCTTGGACTGCTTCTGGGACCCTGGCAGGAAGTACTATCCCTGACCATTTACAGGGGAGGAAACTGAAGGTCAGAGTGGCACAGTGGTCAGAAGCGGCAGGGATAGGAACCTCCACCCCTGGGTGCTGGTAGTGAAGGTGCTGGGAAGATGGCTGAGTGTGTAGCGCAGCTTTCCCATATCCCACAGGAGGGGTCAGGAGCCACCGCCATGGCCGTGGGCAACATTAACGAGTTGCCAGAGAACATTCTCCTGGAGCTGTTCACCCATGTGCCCGCCCGCCAGCTGCTGCTGCGCTGCCGCCCGGTCTGCAGCCTCTGGAGAGACCTCATTGACCTGGTGACACTCTGGAAGCGTAAGTGCCTTCGAGAGGGCTTCATCACAGAGGACTGGGACCAGCCCGTGGCGGACTGGAAGATCTTCTACTTCCTGCGCAGTCTCCGAAGAAACCTCCTGCACAACCCGTGTGCGGAAGGTAGGCATCGAGAGTTGCTTCTGACACACAGTCAGGTGACCAGGGGGCATGAACTGAACACTGAGTATGAGCCAGGCCCTTTGAATGGATATTAATTCTCACAATAATCCTTAGAAGGGCCTTACTATTGATGCACACGCTTTTCAGATGGGCAGACTGAGGCCAAGGGTACTGTTTCCTATTCTACTCTTGAGATTGTTTCTTAGCTGGGTGTGGTAACATGGCACACACCTCTAATCCCAGTATTTGAGAAGTGGAAGCAAGAGGGTCAGGAGTTCAAAGCCATGTTTGGCTACAAAGCAAGTTAGAGGACAATCTGGGCAACATGAGACCTTGTGTTAAACAAGGGGTCTGGAGAGATGGTTCAAGCAGTTAAGTGCACTTATTGCAGAGGACCTGAATTTGGTTCCTAGCATCCATGTGATGGCTAACAACCATCTGTAACTCCAGTTCCAGAGGATCTGACATCCTGTTCTGGCCTCTGTGGGCATTGCATGACACAGGTACACTTACATATATGCAAGCAGAACACTCATACACATAAAATAAAAATAAATCCAAGGGCCTGGAAAGATGGCTCAGCCATTAAGAGCATTGGCTGCTCTTACAGAAGGCCAAGATTTGGTTCCCAGCACCCACATGGTGGCTAACAACTGTCTGTAACTCCAGTTGCAGGGGATTTGATGCCCTCTTCTGGCTCCACAGGCACAGCATGACACAGGTACACTTACATACATGCAGGCAATACATTCATACATATAGGGTGCTGGGATTCAAACCTGGGTCCTCTGCAAGAGCAGCCAGTGTTCTTAACTGCTGAGCCATCTCTTCAGCCCAGGATTGAGAATAGTTTTATATTTTTAAGGGTTATAAAAATAGAAGGGGGCTGAAGAGATGGCTCAGTGGTTAAGTGTATTAGCTGCTCTTGCAGAGGACCTGGATTTGAGTCCCAGCACCCACATGGTGGCTAACAACTGTCCATAACTCCAGTTCCAGGGGATCCAACACCCTCTTCTGACCTCCTCGGGCATTGTACCTACTTACATGCAAACAATACACACACATACACATAAAATAAAAATAATAAGTAAAATATTAAATATTTTAAAAATAGAAGCAAAAGCTATGTGATAGAAACAGTATGTGGCTCACAAAATCTAAGATAGTCCAGCAGAAAACATTTCCCAGTATCTCTTTTTGATTTTTTTCGGGGGGGTCTTTTTTTGAGACAGGGTTTCCCTGTAGCTCCAGCTGTCCTGGAACTCACTATGTAGACCAGGCTGACCTTGAACTCATAGAGATCCACCTGCCTCTGCCTCCCAAGTGCTGAGATTAAAGGTGTGTGCCACCACGCCCAGCTTGATTTTCTTTTTTTTTTTTAATTAATTCTTACATCTATTTATTTATTGGGGGAGTTTGTGCATTTTACTGAGGGCATACAAGCTCAGATGATAACTTGTGAGAGTCCATCCTCACCTTCTACCACGTAGATTCCGGGGATCTAACTCAGATCATCAAGCTTGGTGGCAAGTGCCTTTACCCACAGAGCCATCTTGCTGACCCTCTTTTTTCTTTTTAAAATTTTTTTATTTGGGGCTGGAGAGATGGCTCATTTGTTAAGACCACTGGTTGTTCTTGCAGAAGACACAGGTTTGAATCCCAGCACCCACATGGCAGCTAACAACCATCCATAACTCCAGTTCCAGGGGATCTGACACCCTCTTCTGTCCTCCTTGGGCACTGCTCAACACAGGTGCACTTGTACACATGCAGGCATAACACTCACATAAAATAAAAATAAATCAAATTTTATTTTATTTCATTTTATGTGTATGAATGTTTTGCTGTCATGTAGGAAAGTGCACCTGTGTCATGTCATGTCAGAAGAGAGCATTGGATCCCCTGGGATTAGAGTTCACAGGTAGTTGTTAGCCAGCATGTGGGTGCTGGGAACTGAACCCGGGTCCTCTGCAAGAGTAACCAGTGCTCCTAATCACTGAGCCATCTCTCCAGCACAGCCCCCCTGCCGTTTTTTAGACAGGGTCTCATTATGTAGCCCTGGAACTCGCTATGTAGAACAGGCTGGCCTTGAACTCAGAAAGATCCACCTACCTCTGCCTCTGCTGGGATTAAAGGCATGTACCACCACCCAGCTTTCTTTTTTCTTTTTTAAACAGGGTTTTCTTACTGTCTTGCTTTGTAGCCCCAGGGTAGGGCTAGCCTTAAACTCACAGATATCCACCTGCCTTTGCCTCTTGAGCGCTAGGATCAAAAGTGTATATACCACCATGCCTGGCTTGACTCTAGTTTAGAGAGGACCACATTTCAGAGAGAGAAAGCAACTTGTCTCTGGTCACATAGCCCATTATTGCTAGAGTTGCATAAGGTTCAGGTCTGTCTACCAGAGCACCCTCCATCACAGAAGGGGTCTTGTCACTCACGGCAGCTCTTGTCCAGTATCCTCAGTGGAGTCCCTAGCCTACGCCCAGGACACAGGAAGCATCTAATGTCATCTGTGTGCAGTGATGGGGCTGGAGGGCTGGTCCAAGGTCCTAGGAGAAGAGAGGAACACAGGTGCATGGAGAAAGTGCCCCCAAGAAGCCTCCCTGAATGGTGAACTCTGCTCTCCCCACAGAGGGATTTGAGTTCTGGAGCCTAGATGTGAATGGAGGCGATGAGTGGAAGGTAGAAGATCTCTCCAGAGACCAGCGGAAGGCATTTCCCAATGACCAGGTCAAGAAATACTTCGTGACCTCCTATTAGTAAGATCTGGGGGCTTGGGGTGGCCGGGAACCCAAGTCCCAGGACCTGGGGTCTGTCCTCCATCCCCAGGGTCCAATGTTGAGCCCCAGCCCCTCCCCCTTCCGTGCCCCAGCACCTGCCTCAAGTCCCAGGTGGTGGACCTCAAGGCTGAAGGGTATTGGGAGGACCTGATGGACACCACCCGGCCGGACATCGAGGTCAAGGACTGGTGAGTGCCTGGGGCGAGGGTCTGGGGGGGGGCCTGCCACCCAGGCGCCCCACCCCTGCCCTGCCCCCTATCTCCCAGGTTCTCACCAACCATTCCTTCTCCTTGTGCCTGCAGGTTCGCCGCCAGGCCAGACTGCGGGTCCAAGTACCAGCTGTGCGTCCAGCTCCTGTCATCCGCACATGCACCTCTGGGGACCTTCCAGCCAGACCCTGCAATGATCCAGCAGAAGAGCGATGCCAAGTGGAGGGAGGTCTGTAGACCCTGGGAAATGGGGGTACTGACCCCCACGGGGTCTGGGTTCAGAACCAGGCTCAGCCTGGGCTTCTGATACTCCCAAGTCTCAACTTGCTTGCTTGAGCCATATAATAGGAATAATGATGCCTCCTGCTTAGAGACGTCAGGGATAGAAGGCTGGCTGGGAGAGCCCCAGTGAAGTATTCAGGAGGGCTGGCTCCATGGCAGAGTGCTTTCCTAGAACGGGAAGCCAAGTGCCCCATCTGTACTACCAAATACTACCACTACTACTACTAATAATAATAATAATAATAGTAATAATAGATGTGCAATCAAAGAATGCTTAGTGTTAGCCAGGCCCAGCTGCTCAGAAAGATTGAGACAGAAGTGGGCAAAGGCCAGGCCTAGCAACTCAGTGAGACCTTGTCTCAAAAGTACAAACAGTGGTGGATGACCACAAGGAAACAGTTTTTCAGGCAGCTGGAAACTTGCTCATATGAACTTACAGTGATGGTGACAGCATGCACAAGACCCATGCAAACTCAAACCAGACAAAAACCCAGCATAGAACTGGGGAAATGGGCAGCAGGCCCCAACCTTAGCCAAGGAACTGTTAGCAGCTGATCACTGCTGGGTGAGGGAGAGTCGATATTCTTTAAAGGAGTGATGTGAGATAGGCTGACCAGGCTCCAAGGGATGAACTCATACAGAGGGACATCTGGGGACACAACTTGACTCAATAGGTCTTAACCTGTATGGCAGAATGCATGATATCCAGTGAGGGGGGATATGGGAGGGTGCAGTTAAGGGAGGGGGTCTCAATATGATTAAGATGTATTGTATGAAGTGCACAAAAATTGGGGCTGGAGAGATGGCTCAGCGGTTAAAAACAGTGGTTGTTCTTGCAGAAGACTGAGGTTCAAATCCCAGCACCCACATGGCAGCTAACAACTGTCTATAACTTCAGTCCCAGGGGATCCAACAGCCTCTTCTGACTTCTGTGGGCATTGTATGACATGGGTGCACTTACCTACATGCAGGCAATACACACATATACATAAAATAAAAATAATAAAAATGTTTTTAATGCAAAAATTCAATTAAAACATATTGAAGAAAATTACAGACAGTAAAAAGGAGGCCCGGGAATATAGTTCAGTGGTAGAATGCTTGTCTAACGTGCTAGACTGGGTTCACTCCTCAGTGGCACAGGAAAAAATAAAATGTTCGGAGCCAAGGGCTGTAACCCATGCCTATAATCCTAATACTTGGGAAATGGAAGCAAGAGGAACAGGAATTTGAGACCAGGCTCCACACAAAGCCACTTCTAGAACATTGTGGGCTTTAGTTCCAGCACTCAGGAGGCAGAGGCAGGCAGATCTCTGTGAGATCAAAGCCAGTCTGGTCTACATAGTGAGTTCTTCCAGGCCAGCTAAGGCTACAGGGAGACTGTCTCAAAAAGACCAAAAACCAATAAGCAAAAAACAAACAAACAACAACAACAACAAAAAAAAAAACAGTAAGGAGCAGCTGTGTCATCTATACCAAGGTCAGTCTTGTTGTCTTTACTTATCTTGTCTTTTCTTTTTGGTTTGGTGGAATTAGATATAGTGCCCATGACCTCACACATGCTAGGCAAGTGCTCTCCGCTGAGGCCAGATACAAAGCCTGGTGTGATGACTCAGGCTTCTAATAGTAGCACTTAGGAAACTGAGGCAGAGGGATCGCCATCGGTTACAGGCTAGCCTGAGTTTTGTATTGGGTTCCAGGCCAGCCTGGGCTGCAGAATGAGACCTTATCTCAAAGAAATAATAAAGGGCTGGAGAAATGCCCCAGCGGTTAAGAGCAGTAGCTGCTCTTGCAGAGGACCCTGGTTCGATTCCCAGAACCCACATGGCAGCTAACAACTGCCTGCAATTCCAGTTCCAGGGGATCCGACAGCCTCGTCTGACCTCCTCTAGCATTGCATGACACGGGTGCACTTACCTACACACAGGCAATATACTCATACACATAACAGAATAATAAAATATTAAAAACAATGATAATAAAATAACCCAACAACAGAAAACCAAGCAGGGGCCTTCAAGACAGATATCTCAGCAGGTAAAGGCTTTTGCCACTGGGCCTGATTACTTCATTTCCATCAGCAGGACCCACATGATGGAAAGAGGGAATTGATTCTCACAAGCAGCCTGACCTTCACACACATGCTATGGTACACATGCACAGACGCATGTATACAAGCACACAAATATAATAAACACAAATAGGTCTTGACTGGCCTGGAACACTCTATATAGACCAGGCTGGCCTTGAACTCACAGGGATCTATCTACCTGCCTCTGCCTCCTAAGCCCTGAGATTAAAGGCGAGCGTCTGGCTTCTAGGATGTTTTTTTAAAGCCAGACAGGAACAGCTGAAACTTTGCACTCTGTCACAGAACTCTCCCTTCAGCTCTTCCAGCTTTAGCCAACAGATAAGCATGTCTTCATAAAACCATATTAACAAAAGTAGAGGTAGGTCCAGCTAGATTTAGACAAGCAAGGTCTTATGAGACTTCTGCAGTGACAGAGTCCTCAGCCAGCAGGCCCACGGTGGGTTGAGCCTTGAGTGAAAACCAGTCCATTCTAATGCTGAGTAGCTTGGGTTTGTTTGTTTTGATCTAATTTTGTTTGGGTTCATTTTTGCTTTGATTTTTTTGAGGCAGGGTCTCAGGTAGCCCAGGCTGGTCTCCAACTGACTGCATACCTAAGGACAATTGTGAGCTCCTGATTCTCCTGCCGCTACCTTCCAAGTGCTAAGATTACTGTGTGCTGGTGTGGTTTATGCCTTGAGGATTGAACCCAGGGCTCTGCATGCTCGTCAAGCACTCCACTAGCTGAACTACATATCCACATCTCCAGTTCCTTTTTGTTGATTTTCTGAGGCAGGGTCTCAGGGATCCCAGGCTGGCCTCTAACTCCGTGTGTAATCAAAACTAACCTTGAACTTCTGATCCTCCTGCCTCCACGCCTAAGCACTGAAATTACAGGTGGGTACCATCACACCAGGTTTATGCAGTGTTGAGGATAGAAATCAAGGTCTCTGCATTCTGGATGCCTATCAGCTAATTACATACCTTGCCTTGTTTATTTTTGAGACAATTCTCACTCAGCCTAAGCTTGCCTTGAACTCAAGGCAATCCTCTTCCAATAAGTGCCGGGACTGCAGGCATGAGCTACCATACCTTATTTTACCTAATTTTAATTCATTTTAACTTAAATGCCCACATTCGGCAGCTTGGAGTTTATTTCTTTGAACCTTGTAACAATCCTGTAAGATTTGGCTCCATCTTACAGATGAAGAAACTGAGGCTCAGAAAGTCAAGATCTCCCCCAAATCACAGAGCTAGGACTAGAACACCTGCTGACCCTGGTCCAACCCCAAGGGCACAGTAAGGCATCCCCCTGACTGCTCTCTTCCCTCTACCTGCCCCCACCAGGTCTCCCACACATTCTCCAACTACCCTCCCGGCGTCCGCTACATCTGGTTTCAGCACGGCGGTGTGGATACTCATTACTGGGCCGGCTGGTATGGACCGAGGGTCACCAACAGCAGCATCACCATCGGGCCCCCGCTGCCCTGATGCCCCCTGAACCCCCATCCTCTGAATCCTGACTGGTAAATGGCTGTCCAAAAATGCTGGGCTTGGGAAGGGGAGGTGAAGCCAGGCATCTCCAGACTGCCCCCAGCCACCTCCTCTGTGTGGAGCTCTTAGTGTCTGGGCCATCTCCCCTCTGTGGAGGTCAGCCCTCCAAGGTCACGACACACATGACTGCAGGTCAACCAGCTGCCCCTCTAAGGAGTTCAGTTAGGAGTTCCTTAGGAGTTCCTCTAAGCAGATGCAGGGCTGGGGGTGTCTCCAGGTTTATCAGAGAGGGATCCCCAAGCTCAAATGCTTGCCCAGATGAGTCTATCCCCCATCCCCCAAGACCTCACTCCCTGTCCTCTTCAAGAGTCCTTAGAACAGGGACAAGCAAGATACCTGGGGCTGCCTTCTACAGTGCAGAGCAGGGAGACAGAGCTGAGGTAGCAGGGGGCTCTGCTGGCTGGTCCTCTGCCTGGTTGTCAGAGGCTATGCACCCCTCCCTCTGCCTGCTTGGAAGAAGGAGCTTTATCCCAAAGGCTCAGGCTGGCCACAGATAACAGGTGGGCCCAGGGTGGGCTGAGGATCAGGCTGGGTGGAGACTGTCATTAGGAAAGCCCAGGAAGCCAGGTGGGTACCAGGGGAAAGCAGGATTCCCTGGAGGACCCAGGGCATCCTGCTCAGGGCAGAATGGAACTCAATTCTGAGAGCTGGGGTCGGGGAGCAGGGTAGAAGGCCCAGGCCAGGCTTCCCACCCAACCGATGAGGTTGCCACTCCCACAATGTCTCCTCCACTCCACCTTCCCTTCTACAGCACACAGCCAAATAAAAGTTTTCCCAGCCAGCCTGTGCCCTGTGGCTTTGGACAAAAAGGCACATTCATGGGAAGTTCCACATGGTCCTGAAAAGGCGGTGGTGTGACTTCTGCCCACAGGACAGAGAGGGTTTGACATTTCAGGAGGCTGAACATCACAGTCCCCAGCTCATAGTGGAGCAAACACTTTAGTGCTGCAGACCTCTTGCCCTCCAGGCAATACCTCCAGCTTCCTCTAGGGGGGCACAGGACTATGTGGGTTTCTCTTTACAGGCACCGGAACGGAGTCCCCAGAGGACAGGGCCAGGCTCCATTTACCTCACCTCTCTTTGCCGAGAGCCTTATTGGCTTTGAATGAGGCCCAAATGTTTAGAATGGAGCCTAGCACACAGTAAGTGCTCTGCACCTAAATACACCTCAAAGGTAATTGTCTAGGAGCTGGAGAGATGGCTCACTGGTTAAGAGCACTTACTGCTCTTGCAGAGCACCCAGGTTTGGTTCCCAGCACCTACCTACATGGGGGCTCACAACCGCCTGTAATACCAGTTGGAAGGGATCTGTTGCCCTCTTCTGGCCACCATGGGCACTGCACACATTGGAGGACATATATTCATTCAGGCAAATACTCATACACATAATAAAAAGTAAATAAATAAAACCTTGGCCTAGAGAGATGGTGCAATAGTTAAGAGCACTGGCTGCTCTTGCAGAGGACCCAGGTTCTGTTCCCAGCACCCACATGGGGGCTCACAACCACCTGAAACTTCAGTTCCAGGGGATCTGACACCCTCTTCTGGCCTCCTTGGGCACCAGGTACACACATGGTACACTTACATACATGCAGGCAAAATATTCATACACATAAAATAAAAATATTTTTTAAGTTAGTTATCACATTCAATAATAAACTAGATTGGGGGCAATCTAGGTGACCCCACAGATCACCAGCCATCAGCTTTGAGGCCTGCACAGCCTCAAATAGGAATTAGTTTTTGGTTTTGTTTTGAGTAAAAGAATGAATAACTGACAGAATGACACCATCCCGAGGCGTTTGTGCCTCTGCGTCACTCAGAGGCCCAGCTGACCCTCAGTGGAGGGGCCCCACCTCTGCCCGCCTGGGGCTGGGGAGGAAGCAGGGCAGGGGTGGGTGCTGTGTGCTCAGTGGCCTGCAGGGGGAGACGCAGGCCCAGGAAACGCGGGCTGTGGCTAGAACCCAGACTGCGGCGACGCGGAGGGGGCCATTGGGACCCGGGGCTCGTCTTCGTGGGGCCGCTGGGCGGTGCGTGACGCGGACCGGAGCCGGGGCTGGGCGAGGCGACGTCGCTGCGGTCCAGGCCCCGAGGCCGAGCGGAGCTGCGGTGCTGCGGGGCGCTCGGCACCGCGCCCAGGTCCGGCCCGGTGGGGGCGGTGGGGGAGGCCGCGGGAGGGCCGGACTGTGTGCGGGCGGAGGTCATGCGCGCCAGGGCCGGGCGAGGCCGGTCCCCTCGGGTCCTTTCCCACGGACGCCCGGCCTTCTGCACCCGAGGACCCGGACGCTACATCCCCGGACACCGGGCCTGCTACCCGAGGACGCTGGCGACACCGGCTGGGCTCCGTGCAAAGGGCCGCGGGGCGGGGGAGGGTCGCGCGCGTGACCGGCCCGCCGGGTGGGGGCTGGAGGCGGCCGGGGTGCGCGGGGACCGTTCCACCCGGGCGCACCCTGAACGGCGTGGGGTGCCACCAGGGCCCGGCTGAACCGGCCCGGGACTTACTGGTAGGTCTAGGCTGCGTTTAGAAGTTGCCAGAATTTTTTAATGGACATAGTTCTCTTGCATTTTGGTTGGTTGGTTCTGGGGATGGAACCCAGGGCCTCCCGCGTGCGAGGCAGGCACTACCACCGAGTTACAGCCCCAGCAACACCCCCTCCCCCCAAACGCTGGGATTACAGGTGTGCACCTCCACACCCGGTTTATTCCACGCAGGGG